GTGTCCTAGGGCATGAAAGCTGAAAATAGCTCCTAGTGCTGGGAGCCTTGGAGCCGGAGCCTGGGAGCCAGGGTGACTGGCTCTCCTCCCTGGTGTGTGTGTGTGTGGGGGGGGGGTGCTGTGGACTTCTCAGGCTGGGAATGGGGTGCACGGAGCAGGGACGGAGCAGGGACCCTTCTCTCTGGGACCTCGCGGGCCATCCTTAGCTCACAAAGCTGAGCCGCTCCTGGCCCTACGAGTGGGGGGCTTATCCTCCCTGTCCCCTGGATCACACCCCTTCACACACAACTTCCCCGTGTGTGCTCCCAGCAACCAAGAGAATCTGTTTTTAAAAGATTTGGGGGAGGGGGGTAAACGTACAAACAAGAGCAGAATGGATACTTTCTCAGAATGGGAATGGCTCTGTGTAACTCCACCCCCAGGGTAACCACAGTCCTGACCTCTAACACCCTTGACGAGTCAGCCTTGGTCTGGGCTTGCAGACCCACGGAAGCTTCCTCATCCCCTCCTTCAGACCCCGTCTCTCCCTCGGCGTCTTTGTGAGAGGCACCCAGGGAAGTGGGACTGCTAGGCTGTACTGCTTCTACAACTCCACCTGGGCTCCACCAGGCTCCAGCCCCCCACCCTGTGCATCTCTCTGACCCTGAGGCACCTCAACTGGTAGGAGCGGCATCACCTTCCCTCCCGGGACTTCTGACACTTAAAGGAGACACAGAAAGGACAAGCGTTTGGCTCCCTGGCTGGCAAAGAGCAGGTGCTCAATTGTCATAAGTGTCCATATCAGTGAGGGGTCTCCAGACAAACAGAATCCATAGAGTGTGTGTGTATATACACACACACGTACATATGTACACGCATACAAAAATATACAGCTGTGTATATATGCAGTATGCATACAGACATATACACATATAGTATATACAATACACACATACACATATACACACACATATATAAAATGCATAGTTTGTATATATACAGTATGTATACACACATATACACATAATATATACAATAGATACATCCATACTATACATACACACATATGAAATGCATAGTTTGTATGTACACATAGTACATAGTACACATAGTATGTACACATACGTATAACATATGCAATATACACACCTAGGTACGTCTATATCATACATATATACACACATACAAAGATATTTAGATGTGTATACAGTATACATGCATACACATATAATATATGCAATACATACACGTACATACATATAGACACACATATACACCTACATATAAAAGCATGTAGCATAAAAATATATATGTACTGTATATATAAATTAGTCATATATATACATACACATATCATATATATGATATATACACATACATATATGCAATGTATACACACACATACACACCTATATGTAAATATGTGCATGTACATACACATATAAATACATACGCAAGTGTGTATATATAGAGTATACATATAATACCTATACAACATATACACATACAGGTATACAACATATATACACACCTATATATAAATATACACTGTATACATACATATATACAGTGTACATATACTGTATATATACACACCCATATATCAATATATGGGTGTGTGTATATATACAGCATGTTCACGTTTATAATATGTATACTATATATATACACATACATACATGTATACAATATATACACACAAATATATAGGCTTGTATGTATACTGTATATAGTACTTACACATATACTACAAATGCACGCACATATAAACATGTGTATACATATATATAATATGTATATACACATATACAAATTAATAGGCTTGTATATATTCAATATTTTTACATATATAGTTTTGTTTTAAGGAGTTGACTCATGTGACCGTGAGGCAGGCAAGTCAGGGCAGGCATCTGGGCTGGAGACACAGGGAAGAGCTGATGTCCTAAGGCCATTGGAGGAACAGTTCCCTCTTTCTAGGGAACCTCATTTTTCTCTCCAGTCCTTCAACTGATGGACGAGGCCCACCCACGCCGCGGCATTGACAATCTCCTTTACGCAAAGTGGACCAATTTCAGTGTTAATCTCTTCTGAAAAATACCTTCCTGGCCACATCTGGAATAATGTTTGCGGTTGCTGGGGCCCCACGCAGTGCGCACATGAGATTAACCATCCCCATGGCGATGATGACACTTTATTTTCTCCCTTGACCATTGTCACTACTATTCCAATTAAAATGGCAGTGCTATGAGGGCAGGGCATTTCCTTTTTTGCCAGTACTGAGCATCCGCGGTCTGGTGTCTAGCATAGGCTAAATACACGGCATTTTTGTGAACAGAAGCCGGGATTCCGGCTGTCATATTTAATGAGGAATTATAGTCTTTTTATTAGGGGGGAGGGTGTGTGTCACGGTACGTCAAGGGCGGGAGTCGAACCCGCCACCCCAGGCCCCGAGGGGTCTCCCTGGGTCCCCACTTCGGGCCGGTGGGGGTGGCCGGGGGCAGCCAAAGACTTGCGTACGTGCGTGCGTGCTTGGGAGCGTGCGTGCGTGAGAGCGTGCGAGTCCACGGGGCGGACTGCGCGCGCCGCGAGTGGTTCAGCCCGGGCCCCGGCTCATTGTGCTCGCCTCATGCCGGCCCAACTTCGCAGCAGCGCTTGAGGTCCCGGGCCTGTGACCACAAAGAGGGAGCCGGGGGCCGGAAGGGACCGCAGCGGCGGCAGCCGAGGCCCAGACCAGGCCCCCTCCCCTCAGCCTCCCGCCTGCCCGTCTGCCCCGCCCCCGCCGGCGGCGCCGCGCCCCTTCCCCAACCGCCAGACTAGCACAGTGCGGGGGCCGCGCGCGAAGACATCCGGGAGAAACTGGAGCTGAGGCTGGAGTCGCTCTTGGGGACCGAGCCCGCCGTCTACCCGTGGCCGCTGCCGGTCTACGTAAGTGCCGCCCGTCCCCTCCTCCCAGACCCCCATCCCTCTTCCCCCACGGCGCGCGCTGAGCCCACCGAGAAACGGAGCGACTCGAGTCGTCAGACCCTCTTTGGAGCCCCCCTTCCCGCCCCGCCGTGGTTCTCCGCGGCAGTTTCCAGCCCCCGCGCGCAGGGTGGGCAGAGGAGAGCCGGCGCCAGCCGGGGGCGCAGACTCGGCCGCGGGGACCCCGCGCTTCCGAGGGGCGCCCGAGCCGGTCTGCGGTTGGCTCTGCAGGGCTGGGGACCCTGGTACCCCCGGGCCTGGAATGCCGGCGGGCTTGCCCTTCTGTACTTTAGGATCTGACATGTAGGGTTTCTTTTTCCTGGAAGTTTATTCTTAGCGCTGTCAACGTGCTTAGTTCTTTTTTTATTTTTCAGGGCACCCTTACCTCCCTCACTCCAGTTTTTTTGTGTTTCTGTTTTGTTTTGTTTTAGTTAGGCATTTTGTTCCTCTGATCTTGAGTGGGTGGGCTGGCAGGACACTTGGAGAGGAGGCGTTCTGTCCCCTGATCTTGAGTGGTCTTTGGAAAATGACACGCCAGACGGAAATTTACACAGGCGTCCAGTGATGCAGGGTGTCCGGCTAGGTGGGCGCCCGGCCTCTCGTCCCCTGTGGCGGCGTGGTGCGCGTGTTCCTTGTCTCAGGGTTTACGCTTGGGCCCCGCAGCCCACCTGCCGGAGGGAAAGCGCAGCGGGCGCCTTGGGCCGGCGCCTTTGGGGCGCCCTTTCGTGCGCTCGGCTTGCGGGGGACCGGCCTCCAGGCGACCCGGCGGGGAAGCCCGCACGACCCGGCCCTGCGCGGGCTCCGTGTGTGTCAGTTTGTGGAAAGTGTCGCGGCCGGGGTCGGGGTCGGGACGCTGGGACCGCCTGGGAGCCGATGTTGACTCCGGGCCCCTGTTCTCCGCAGTTATCTGAGGTCCGAGGGTTTCCAGCCCGCCACCCAGCACTGGTGCTTTCTATTTTTGCCCTTCCTGTGCCCGGAGGCGCGGCTGAGCCTGGGCTCTGGCTTTTCCGGTTGGGTAACTCCGGGTGGCCGGGGTGGGCGGCCTGAGCAGTGGGCAGGGCGGGGAGACATCCCAGGGGAGGGAAACTGAAAGTGGGGAGAACCTTCAGGACTCCAGCTGATCCACTTGCCTCGTTCCCCCCCCCCCCCCC